TGCTCCCCTCAGCAGTGTACTTCCTCGATCTGCCTGTTCTGCTCCCCACTCTGTCTCTGGTGAAGCCTCTAGCCACCCCCCAGCCTCTGGCCTGTACCCCAGTTCTGTATGCATAAATAAATAAATAAATCTTAAAAAAAAAGATACTATATATTCCTGTTAACTTATTAACTGATACACTGATATATTAACTGATTACATCATGCTTAATTGATACATTCTCAATACCAGAATAAAAATAAATGCAGAGGTAATCATTTTTGAGACCTTGCCTTCTTGATAGTGTTGTATTTTTCATTTCTTTTTTATTGGTAATTCAACTGGGTATAAAATTCTAGGTTGTGTACAATTTCCCCTTCAATTCTAAAGCAGTGTTCCTTTTACTGATTTCAGTAAATGTGGCTGGGTCAAAAGACTGACTCCATTGTGAGTCATGTCTTACTTAATCTTACCCCTTTTTTTTCATTCTGCAAGTAATTGGAAACTTTTCTGTCATTTGCTGAAAATATATTAGTGTCAGTCTTTATTTGATTATGGGGATTAATGCTGTTAACAATTTAGATTCATGCATTTAGTTCTGTAAAATTTTCTTATATTTAATCACAATTTCCTCCTTAAATCTTCTCCATTCTATATTTAATCATAATTTCATTAATGATTGAATCTCCTGGATTAAGAGTCTCTAAGGATATAAGATTTTTTTCTCTTTCTTACTTTCTTTTTGTCTCTTGTTTTACTTTTTTGGACAATTTAACATTCAGTCCTTATGTTTAGATTTTTGTCAGACAAATACTGATTTTTAAGAGGTCTTTAGGTTCTCTGAGTGTTTTACATTTCAGTCTACTATAGACTTATAAATGTAATATTTTCTTTCACCAATATTTAACCTACTGTTTTAAAATACATTATGCATAAACACATTATACAGTAAAAACTTGTATATACTAATTTTAAAATTAGAATGAATTACAGGGAAGATAATAATTTTCACAGTAAATAATAAGTAATTATTTGTTCTTACTAGATTTTACTACTCTGGGAAAATTAATCAGTTTAAAATTCCTTCTTCTGTTTTCTATATATGTTACCTCTGGCTCCTTCCTTTTCATTTGGATTTCGATGGTAGTGGGCTTGATCTTTCTATGTCATGTTTTCAGGTATTTCCTCAAATGTCTATGTCCTCGCTAATCCTGTCATATTTAAGAGTAATTAGGTGTCATAGTGCTAACAGTCAGCTCTTTGTGCATACATGAGTCCTACTGATGGAAGGACATCACTCCAATGTAAAGTACTAGGATATGTCTATCACCTTGGGAAATGCCCAACTATCAGAACGTGTATGACTTCACCTGAGCCTTTCATATTATTTAGGTTAGAATTCTACAATATTTCTGTATAAGGAAGAATTAAGGAAGGGGACAGACATGTACTTTGTGTTCTATAATCAAGAGTATTGCATGAGAAAGACTAGGAATCTCACCATTCAGGATGCAATTTTTTTCTTAATCTTCATACGTTTAGTTTCATATCTCATACTTACACTTAGTTCTGCATATAACCAGAGATCACAGTGCATAGTTTCCATGGGATAAACTTTACATTCTCTGGCCTTGAATTATTTTCCCAAGTATGTAAGATGATCAGAGAATTCAACTCTCTTAAATACTTTAAACTAATAACTTCTTTAAAAAAAAAAGAAAGAAAACCTAACTGACTTCAATCTTCATGTAGACTTGATTCCTCCTAATTTTGTATTTAAATGGAATTATGTGAGGCAAGCCCATCAGTTTCTTATAAACAACTCTTATGCAGGGACTTCACTTTAGCCATTTCAAGAAATGGAACTGTTAACAGTTCTTCCATCTTCATTCTGTCCTCTCATATGTGTGTGTTAACTTTTTCATCCTAACTTTATTAGTTCATATCATGTTTATTATCTTTTCTATCATTTTTGTGACTAACTTAAAAGGAGGGATAATTGTTTAGCCAATATGCCTATTTTTTTATTTCTACTTTTTAAAATGACAGACTTGTCAACCATATATCTAGCTTACATTTTAAGGAATGAGTTTGAACTTAACATTAAAAAATGCAAACTTGTTAGATCTCCCTCCTTCCATTCTGGAGAACACTTTTGAAAACTTTTGCAGAGGACCTCAGTGGTGAGCTCCAAGTATTGATTTCTAATAATACTGTAGCAACCATACATTTTGGCTTAGATTGAAACTAGCCAACACAAAGGAGGTGGTCTTGGGCAGGAATGTATAACAAAGCAAAGGCCAAAGATAGGCCTTCAGATTCTAAGAATAATATTTCTTCCTATAATTCATTATCTCTTGGGAAAATAATGGCTCTACCAACCGAAACATGACCTCAGTTGATCTAATAAATGTAAAACTAAATATGAGTTCAAAGATTTGAAATGAGGCTCTCACTCATTTTCTCTTCCTGTGCCCAAAAATAAATCAGTGAACATTGTTGTAGCTGAAAGGAGGGAAGTCAGTTAAAAAGTAAATAAACTTTAAACAAAACTTAAATGCTGCGTTTTATACTTATAAATATTTTGTAAATTATGAGATAAATTAAACTAGGTTATAGATTTACAAAATGTGTCTCACCCATTCTTTATTTTCTTTCAGTGGCCAGTTCACTGCTAACCAGGAAATCTACAGAAATGCCTTGTACTATATAACACTATCTATATATGTTTCATTTCCTGGTTAATCCAGTTTCATATCCTCTGAGAGGACTTGTAAAGTGAATCATGTACACTTGCCCTTTCATTACCATTACAGGATGGCCAAGTAGTGATAAAATTTTGTTCAGTTTAACAGTCATTTATAATTTCTTTCAAGTTTTCAATCTTCTCAGAATGATTACCAGCTTCTAGGAGCTAGGATCACATGCTGTATTTCTGTTTTCATCATAACTGAGTACTTAGGGTTGTGCTGAGAGTGAGGAGTGATACTTGAATGATTTAAAGCAATTTTTAATTGTATTGTAAACTATAAAGCTTACAGAAAGTAGAAAGGGTTCCTAACCAAGTACAAACAATACAGAAAACACTTAATTGTTTCTGCGACATATTTATTGAATGGAATTTAGGTAGCTTTCTCCAAACTCTGGAAATTTGTGGAGACACATGGTGGCGCTGCAGGATAATATTTCCAGGGGAAAAAACTGGATGATGTTTAGGACACTGTTAGCCAGCACAGAGTTATTGGGAAAACAGAAAGAACGAGTCTTCAAGGGGTGAGCTAGAAGCTGTTCAACAGGGCTTAATATCCTTAAGACAGTAAAGATTCCATGGCATGTTTCTCAGAACTGTGAAGTGAAGCTGAAGCCATTCTGCAGGAATCTTTTGGGAGTCCAGGCAGCTATGGAGGACATAGGACCATATATTCTGAGGCTAAGGCAAGTCTTGCTTCTCTTTGTTTTGCTGGGATTATCTTGGGCGGTTTCAGAGTCTGGACGCTATTCAGTGGCAGAGGAAATGCAGAGTGGGACCTCTGTGGGCAATTTGGCAAAGGACCTGGGACTGGAAGTAGGTGAGTTATTCTCAAGGGAAGCTTGGGTGGTCTCCAATGATAACAAACAGCTTTTGCAGCTGGACATAAACACAGGGGATTTGCTCTTGAGTGAAACTCTAGATCGGGAAGAACTCTGCAGCTCCACAGAGCCCTGTGTATTGAATTTCCAGGTATTAATGAAAAACCCCTTGCAGTTTTTACGGATTGAGCTCCAGATCATGGATATAAATGATCACTCTCCCATTTTCTTAGAAAAAGAAATGCTCCTAGAAATCCCAGAAAATAGTCCTGTGGGTGCTGTGTTCTTATTAGAGAGTGCCACGGATTTAGATGTAGGAATCAATGCTCTAAGAAGCTACATGATAAGCCCCAACACTCATTTCCACATTAAAATGAGAGTAAACCCAGACAATAGAAAATATCCAGAGTTAGTTCTAGACAAAGCACTGGATTATGAAGAACAGTCAGAGCTCAGTTTTATCCTCACTGCTCTGGATGGTGGATCTCCACCAAAGTCTGGGACAGCGTCAGTCAGGGTGGTGGTGGTGGACATCAATGACAACTCTCCTGAGTTTGAGCAGCCGTTTTATGAGGTGACAATTCCAGAGAATAGTTCCCTAGGCTCACTGGTTGTGACAGTGTCAGCTTGGGACTCAGACTCTGGAAAAAATGGTGAAATATTATATGCATTTTCTCAAGCCTCAGAAGATATTCGCAAGACATTTGAAATTAATAAAAAATCCGGAGAAGTTGGCTTAATAGCATCCTTAGATTTTGAAAAAACTGAATCATACTCAATAATCATTCAAGCCACAGATGGGGGAGGACTTTTTGGAAAATCAACCATCAGAATTCAGGTGGTAGATGTGAATGACAATGTTCCAGAAGTCGCAGTGTCATCAATCACCAGTCCAATTCCAGAGAATATGCCTGAGATGGTGGTTATGGTTTTCAGTATCCGAGACAGAGACTCTGGTGACAATGGAAGGATGATCTGTTCTATCCCAGATGACCTACCATTTGTGCTAAAATCTTCAGTTGAGAATTACTATACTTTGGAAACAGAGAGTTCCCTGGACAGAGAAAGCCACTCCGAGTACAACATCACCATCACCGTCTCGGACATGGGCACCCCCAGGCTGCAGACCCAGCACAACATCACAGTGCTGGTGTCCGACGTCAACGACAACGCCCC